CAGTTCGGCGTTCTACCTGTGAACGTTTGCGAATTCGCGTTTGAAACAATTTCACGTGACTGCAGACGATCACACTCTTTTAATTAGTTAATTGACTCTTCAGTGTTAAAATTTGGAACTCAGTTTTTTAGTGTTGAATTCAAGTGCTTATGGATTCTTTTTAAGTGGTGTTTGTTGTGTATTCTTTTTCCAAACGATAAGTTGTTTTGGTTATGCCATTTGGAACACCCCTCTTATCGGACTATTACGTATACGGGGCTTTGCAGCTACCGAATTTAGGTAAGTTGTGTAGTTTACTTTTCATTCGAAAACAAAGAATACGTCGTAGAATTGATTTTTTGTTCTTTTCTACCTGTGTGACAGACAAGTGAAATCTCGTAAATAGGTCGAACTGGAACTCTATTTTAGAATGTTGAACTTTCTTCGTTTGTTGTCATGCACACAACTAACTGGCTTTAAAATTTTCAGTGATGAAATTTTTACGTTGCTTTCAGATGGTTATAACTAAAACTTTAACTACATATTCAATATTTGAACATATTTTCTAGAAATGCTTAGAATGAGTTTTAAAATTTATTTTATGGTAAAAATACTTTAGTTCGGATTATAATTTCCGCAGAATTATAATTAATATATAGTATAGTTTGTAACAGTAATAAGTAGTTTATAATATTAACACCGTGTTGAATTGTTATACGACTTTATTAACTGAATATGTTCATGTACATTAAAAAAAATATAAATATAAAGTGTATTCGAATTTATAAAGTGTACTTTATAATATGTGTTATAAATTAATTTCTAATAAAATTGATTATAATTATTTCAATTAAAAGTAATTGTTCTTGGAATATTTTAATGTAATTAACTATACATTTCTTCTAATGTAGTTAATTATTTAATTATTGTCATAATGTAAATAATTATTACATTATACTGTTTTTAAGAAATATAAAGTTTAAATTTTTAATATTTAATTAAAATTAAATTGTAATGGCAGTTAGAATGTCATTTACGACGAATATATGTTAGTGGCTTATATGTTTTTGCTTATTTGTTATGTTTAAAATATCATTAAATTATTTTGTAAATTTTTATTTGGTGAAACATTTAGGAATTGTTGAAAGTATACCATAGTTTTTAGAATAATTTATAATTTCAGTTAAATAATTGATTTAAAATGGAAATTAAAGTCATTAATTCAATTTAAACAATTACAATACAATTCAGAATATAAAACAAATTGTTGAGCTTATTGTATAATATTTTCAATTTTCATAAAATTTAATAAATTAAAAGGTATTTAGTTATAGTTATCAATATAAATATAATAATTGTCCTATAATATTTTTATTGAATAGAGAGTTTATGTTACTTGAATTTTGTTGCAATAAAAACTGTTCAACGTATTAAAATTGTCTTAGATTGTTGTGTATGTTATTTATTAGGCTTAAAAATGTACTTTAAATATGCGAATAAATTATGCAAGCAAATATTGGAATAAGTTAATCAAATAAATGTACTATAAGATGGAAAATAATGTTAACTATCAGTAATAATCTTAACTATCTATATGTTAACTATCAGTGTTCGCAACAGTGATCAAAAGTTAGTGTTAAAAAAATTGTAAGGTTTCTATTGATTTAGCAAAATTGGCTACGTTAACAAGCTGATCGTCTGTTTACATCTGCGCAAAAAGTACACGTGCGTTTCTACTTGGCCAGAAAAACGGGACGAAAAAAACAAGTTAGAAGAGATAATAATTTATGCCTAATTAATGCGATTTAATTAATTGGGCAGCTTAATGCATAGTTATAATAAATGATCTAGTAATTTATGGTTAATTAATGCGATTCTGTACAGTCTTCTGAAGAATTTCTATTGTTTTTACTGTACACTGTCACTTTAAAATAAATTTCTTAGTCATGTTTGATATGAAAAATAGGTGTCTATTTATTATAGTCAGCTTTCCGAACCTTTTTGCCCTGTGAGAATCAATTAAATTTAACTTCAGCTCTTGATGACCCTCTAAACGTGGTTAAATTTTTATGAACCTTTTTCTCAAATACGGAGATTTCTCTGAACCTTTTTCTGTTGCAAGAATCAATGAAATTATCTTCAGCTTTCGATGACCCTCCGAACGTGGTTAAACCTTTCTCAACCTTTTTTCTCAAATGCGCAAATTTCTCTGACTCTTTCTTTCTGCTCTGCAAGAACAATTAATTATCTTCAGCTCTCGATGACCCTCAAAACGTGGTTAAACATTTCTGAATCTTTTCACTTAAATGCGCAAACCTCTCTGAAACTTTGTATCATACAAGAATCAATAAACAATATTTTCAGCTTTCGGCGATCTTCCAAACGAGGTTAAACTTCTCTGAACCCTCTTCCGTCAAATGCGTAAAGCTTTTTGAAACTTTTTTGTCCTGCAGGAATCAATAAAATTATTTTCAATTTCTAGAACCTTATAAAGGCACAAAGGCCACTAAATCTGTCTCATAAAGTCTTTTGTCTCATAAAGGACTCACAAAATTACCTTCGAGATTGCGAAATGGTTGCTAAACCTTTTTCCGCTACAAGAACTCGTAACTCTGCTTTCAAAGTACACGTAATGATTGCTAAATCTTTTCCTGCACAAAAACTCAAAATATTATTTTCAGCTTTCAGGAAATTCCTTACGATGATTCATCCTTTCTTAAAGTTTCTTTCCAACAGGATAATTCGGTGTAGAAATAACACTCGGCTGTAGGAACACAAAACACTTAAACTAAAGCTCATAGTATTTTTTTAGGCGTCCTTCTGAGAGCTGTCTTCTTCAGAAAGACAAATAATGATATTAAGCCTTCGAGAATAGCCGTCTATAAAAATTATGTTAACTTCCGTTCAGTATTGTAGCTTCGTCTGATAATGGAACTAGAGATTGAAAATGGCTGAACTATTTCTGAACATTTCACTTCTGCAGTATCTCAGAAAATGACTCCGAGAAACCCTATTTGAAATTTAATTCAGCAATGCGTCATATCATTTTTATGTTCCTAGGTGTAGTATGATATATTTAACTATGGTAAAGGACTTCAGAGCTATGTACCTAAGGAGAGCGATGCCTTCGAGGAGGACTTAAACTGGCTGGTGTACACTTTATGTTCATAGGAAACTTTTAAACGGGATAATTGGTTGTTAGAGTGTTTACTAAAATCCTTATTGAAATAGTCTAACGTAATTGCTAATGCTTTTCAGTTGAGAACACTTTTCTGTTGATGTGTTTCGTATGTTCATTTTGACAGCTTATTATTTTACATAAATCCTGCCATCCATTAAAAATAATTGCTTCTTTGCAGTCAGGTGGGTGGTAGAGGAAGTTTTTCCGTTGTTTTCCGTAGTGACCTTTTTTGACTTTTATTCCGTAGACCTAAATGTCTCATCACAAGTTTCTACAGCACCGTAAGAGATAAAAAAAGCTTTTTTTTATCTTATAAAGCAAACCTTATTTTGAGAATGAAATGTAATTAGGCTAAACTGAATTTTTGCTTCCTTGCATTAAGTAAAAGAAGCAAGTATTGTAATCGCGAAAAATTTCGGGTATCGTATTTCAACAAAAATTATACATTTTGATCGCACTCGAATCCATTTGAACTACATTTAGGTCTCTTTTTTTTTCAAAAAGGAATACAAATAGCTATTAATTAATGCTTGATAATACGGGGCGGTAATTCCTGATGCAAATAAGTTTAAAAACCGCAACGATAAAAAAATAATAAATAAAATAAAAATCTAAAAGATTTCAGATTTTATGGTTCTCCAAAAGAGTTTGTTAATGTCTTTTATACTCTCGCTCAGCTCACAGTCTACCACTCTGCTGTTACGCTTACTACTAACCCCCCTTTTTCCCCTTTTTAGCTTTATGCAGGATATCATTACGAAACGTAGCGTAATGGTCCGAAAATTTTGGATAGACGTAGCTAAAAACATTTCTAACATAAAAAAATTTATGTAATTTCATAAAAGGTCCGCTTCTTGTAGATTAGCTTTTGTTTATTAAATGCTTACGAAAGTAGTTTGACAAATTGCAATAGCTTTGCATTCATTTAGCCTTGTACAATCGTCTGAGAGGACGAAGATATGTGTTGTACTTTGTTTTTGTCCAATCTCCGCTGTTGTAATGCGCTTCCTTTGGCAAAAAAAAAAAAAAAAAAAAAAAAAAAAAAAAAAAAAAAAACGTGAGTCGTTTGGAAGGCTTAATCGTTAAAAGGCGGTCTCACCGCTAACTTACTCCCCTATTATTCTTTCTTTTCGTTCTGTATATGGAAATTTCAAAATTCCATTCATAGCTTACTTCGAAGAATTTCTTGGCTTGTTCTTTTTTTTTTTTTTTTTTTTCTTTTTCTTTTCTAGGTGGTGTGCTGTTATTTTCTCCTCGGCCGTAAGTTTATGGTTTTCAGAAACCTAAAAAAAAAAAAGCCAAATTTTTTTTTTTAAACAATGATAAATATTTTGTCGTATATGTGTATGGTAATGTCCGTCTTTTCTGGCTTCTGGGCCAAACGACCTTATCAAGATAGGCCAAGAGCCGCAATGACCTCTAAAAACATTCTGAAGGCTACGTAATATATATGAAAATTATTGAAGGAAACAATGTATAATTACGTTTATATACCCAAACATATATGTATGTTTTTACGTATATCTTTATGGAGAAAAAATGTATAGTAAATATATATGTATATTTTTATATTATTCATTTAAAAATGTATAGTATATGTAATACATATCTCGAGACATATGCATATTTTTAGTGTACATTTTTACAAGAAAAAATAGTAATTATAATTATTAAAATTAATAGTTATAAATAGTTCAATCAATAACTATAATTATTTTAATTGTTTTAAAAAGTAATCATATTTTAGACCAGCATTATATGATTGCAGAGAAAATAAATAGTACATTTTTATACTCCAAAATATACTAATCAGTAAGTTAAAAATATAGTATACTCCAAAATATACTACATTTTTTACTTATATTTTCATACTATTAGGCGAAAAAAATGCATAATACTTTTATATGCTTAACCATGTACACATATTTTTCGCGTATATTTATATTATTAAGAGAAAATATCTGATGTAGACACTAAATGAATTCCTTCTACGGCCTGTTAAATTATAGTACATATTTTTTGCTACACTTCATTTAAACTTTATTTCCTCGAATTTCACAACAGATATATTTTTCATTCAACCGATTCAGTTCTCACTGCATAGCATGGTAAAATATAC